CCTAACTGTGGAATTCTTCCTTTTAGTGCCTATAATGTCTCAGAGTGCCTCAAGTTGCACTTGCTTCAACTACCATCCTAGTGTCTGACTTTCTTCAACTACCATCCTAGTGTCTGACTTTCTCCACATTAATGAATTGAATTGCATTGTGAAACATGCTCAAGACTTACGTATGAAAATCATGTTTACAACCATTTGACGTTATAATTCAGGGCCTGTGAGACAGCTCAGCAGGTAAATACACTTTCCATCTGAATCTGACCCTCTGAACCCACATGGTAAATAAAAAGAAAAAACCAACTCCAGTAAATTATCCTCTGACTTGCACATTTGTACAAAGGCACACACATGCACACAACACACATAAAAACAAATATATAAGCAGATACAAGAAGTTTTTAAGTTATATTCAAATCAGCTTGCCTTTCAACACAATAAGATACTTTACTTAGCAGCCATCTTTTCTCAGAAAAAAAATTCTGTTGTCTACCAAACAGAACTGTAGAGTTAGGGATAAGTGGTATAATGTAAAAATAAATCTTATATGATCTTGTCCCTTAAACATAGTGTATTCTAGCATAAAATCTCACTTCCAAAACAAAGGCCAGCCACTTTGATTCTACAGTTTTGTTTCTGCTTATAGATGTGATTCATTGCCAATGGACCTTTAAGTTTTGTTTTAATTTTGCATTGAAAGGCCTTCAGGTATAATATATTTTCTCCATTTCTCCACAGACTCAAAGGCTTTGTATTAGTTTATACCAGGCTGTTTCATAGATGTTTGCTACTTATCTGGCCATGGAAGGTATTTAAGTTTACAAATCCCAATATACACACTAATGTATTAAATCCACTTTAACCAGCGATGAGAAGTACTTTATCTCAAACTTGTAACACATGCCATGTAGCCCTTATTGGAAATATTTTTTACGTATCTGCCACACACAGACCTGGGACAGTTATGAGGAGTAAGAAAAGACTCTAGCAGCCAAAACTAATGGCCTTATTCATTATCCACCAGAGGGCAAATTATTTACATGTATAACAATGCATTTGAAACACATTTTCCAAGCATCATCATCAATTCCTTTAGATACAAAAGAGGCTCATTTAAATGGTTCTCGGGGCATAAAAACCATTGCCCATAGAAAGCAGCAGAGATAGCTTCATTCTCGAAACTGAGCATTATTAACATGTCAAAATAAATACCAGGCAGAAATATAGCAAAGGAATACACTGTCTACAGGCAATGTGGCCTGAACCCTCCCATAAACTAGATTCACATGTCCAAAAGTAGCCTTGGACTAAACCAAGTTTGGCAGTGCCAATTAGCCTGAGTGGATGTTGCTTTCCCCCTCGGACAGATCTGTTGACAGAGCATCCCAGAAAGTTATTAAGTGTCTTCTTTCATGAGTCATAATTTTTATATGTGCTTAAGTTCACTATAAACAAGGAAAAGTGTGTACTATATAAACAGAAGCATTAATAGTATAAAGCTCACCTAGAGTACAGGAATAATATAGTATGACTCATGGTCTACATAAATAGCAATGGCAGCAGTTTGCCATCTGTTTCCTCTGTGGATTCTTCTCCTTTGGTATGTTACCCCTCATCCTCACCTACTGTTTCTTCAGGGAACTTGATGCAAACAAATTTATGGAAGGGACTAATAACAGCTCCCTTTCTCATCAGGTGTAGCCCAACACAACTCTCACTGACCATAGACCTTCTTGCCCATGCTAGTAAGGCTTGAACTCTTAAGCTCTTACAAATGAGTCACTCAACTGGCCTTCTAGCTTCAGTGTATGGTTTGAAAGTCATTAATATGCATGTTATCCAGCAGGTTGTTTATCCATCTTGTACTTTGCAGTGGTCTGGTGGGACTCTGCTATCTTCCAAGACCACTTTCCAGTCTTTTCCCACGCACTTGGTTTTTCACTGAGAGATGGGCAATAGCTCTATGTGTCAACAGCAATTGCATTACCCATTTCATAAAAGTCACCGGCTTTACCACAGTGAGTGTCCTTCTCCACAGTCTCCACATCACTTTCCAGACCCTTCCTTGAGTTTGCCACACTTCAAAATAAACAACCAACTTACAAAATTAGAACTTCAGTGTTCGTATGAAACTGAAGGTAAGAGGGATTTTTTATGTGAGGTCAGGCAATATCAATAAAAGTGAATAAACCAAGCAAAACAAGGGGATTACTGCACACATGCATGCATGCATGCACACACACAACCTATATTGGCAGAGATGGAAAATGCTCTTCATTCAAGTCTTTTATAACCTTACATTCTGCTTCTTTTTAACAGGTCAAAACTCCTGCAAGCAGGCTGCACTTCCCAGTGGACACTTAATCCTCCCTCATCTGTCAGGAGTGATTTCATAGTTAGAAAATACCGTCTTTTCTATATTATGCCCCTTGACTAGGAATCGTAGTCTCAAACACTGTACTGGTTACACACAAACTTGAGTCACCAGGAAGAGGAAGTCTCAGTTAAGGAGCCACTCCATGACACTGGCACCTGGGCATGTTAATAGGCTATTTCTTGATTAATGATTGATGTGGAGAGCCCAGGCCATTGTGAAAGGTGCCATTCCTGGGCAGGTGGCCCTAGTTAGTCCTGGTTGTATAAGCAAACTGAGCAAGCCATGAAAAGCCAGCCAGCAAGCAGCATTTCCCCACAGTTCCTGCCCTGACTTCCCTCAATAATGGACTGTGATAAGGAAGTGTAAGCCAAATAAATAAAGCCTTTCTGCCCCAAGTTGCTTTTGCTCAGCATGTTTTTATCACAACCTAGAAGCAAGCTAGGTGAAATTCGAGGAAAAGAAAATGGAGGCAGGGGAGAGAGAAAAAGAATATTAAAAACAGCATAATGAACTCTACCAATTACAAGTGTTTTAATGTATGGAACTAAGACAGCCAAGGATATTAGAAGCATACTAAGAAATTTCCTTATAAAAAAAAAGCCTCCCTGCCCTTGGTAAAGAAGGTTTCAAATTGTAAGTATCTTTTCCCTAGAAAATACAAAAGTAGAAACAAAGAATACAAAAGTAGAAACAAAAGCTATCCAGGCCCTAAACTACTCCTCAGAACCTTTAAACATGTTGCTCTTTTAGATCTTATTACATGTATGGACCTTTTTTTTTTACCAGGGTAGTCATGGTTTCTTATAACTCATTCTGTAGACCTCTAGCCTCAAACTCAGACAGATCTACCTACCTCTGCTTCCTAAGCACTGGTATTAAAAGCCTATGTCTAGGTCTTCAGATGGTGAGATTATCATAAATGAAAAAAATAGAGCTACTTCTATTCTGCCTTTTCTTTTAGGAGAGAAATATATTCCGTGGTTTCCACCTCTCTAAAAAAGTAGGCAACAGAAGAAAATTTAAAGAAAATTAGGAAAGGGTTGAGGAGACATCTCAATCAGTAGAGTCCTTGTCTTAGAAGCACAAAGATTTGAGTTCATTCCCAGAACCTATAGTTAAAGAAAGATAGTGAATATATAAAAATAATGAAAATAATTTAAAATAAAGAGATGAATAAAGTAATAAAAATAGATTAAAGTAATAAATGAAAATAAATTTTAGAAGGTCTGGGTATGGTAGTACTTGCTTGTAATACCAGTTCTGGGAAGATAGAAATGGGCAAACCCCAGTTAACTGCTTGTTGAGTTTCAGACTGGTGAGAGATGCTGTTTCAGCAAAGATGGACAATGCCTGAAGAGCAGCACTAGAGGCTGTCCTCTGAATTTCTACTCACATGCATAAACACACATGCATGTGCACACACACATATACATATACACAAGAAAATGTATTTCCATTTTTTATTTGTATATATTTGTATTTATGTGTGTACCTAAGTGTGCCTTTTGAAGCTCAGAGGTCAATATTAGAAATCTTCCTCTATTGTTTTCCACCTTAGCTTTGGGGACAAGATCCCTCACTGGACCCAGACCTCATTGACTGGCCAGCAAGATTCAGGATCAGTCTGTCTCCCACCACCACCAAGCTGAGATTACAGACATGGGCTAATAGCTGGATGCTGAGGATTTGAATGCAGGTCCTCATGCTTGCATAGTAAGCCCTTTCCCCACTAAGACATCTCCCAGCCAAGAAAAAAATAATTTCTTGTTGGGAGTAAAGAGTGTTCCTTCGCTATATAACTGTGGCAGACACTCAACTGAAGACTGCCTTTCCTTACCACGTGGCTATATTCATTTAAGCTTTCTGTTCCTACAGGTCGGTGAGCTTCTAAACATCGTTCTATTCCTAGTCTGAAATCATGAAAAAGTATAGTATGTAAGCTTTCTAGATTTGACTCTTTAACATCTTCAACACAACATTCAATCCTACCTTTCCTCTTACATCACTTGTCTGGGGAAGACCTTTCCTGATATAACATCTAGCCAATCTCTTCTGGGTTTGTACTTAGAATAACTGTTGAGCCTAAATTTCTTAATGCTGTCTCAAATCATATCTGATTATAACCATATCAACATGTCAAAAAATATTACTAGCTGTAATTCCTACTCTGCTACAAATATACAGCTTTTACTATGACAAATATTTCCACAGGATTCAGTAAAAAAAAAAAAAAAGTACAGCTACAGACCAAATCTAGCTCAGCTCTGGCTTTTGTGAATAAAGTTTTATTAAAATACATCCATAAGGATTCATTTATGTATTATCTATGGCTACTTTTGTTCCACAGCAGCTGAACTAATTTTGACAATCATTACATGGCTCTCAAACCTAAAATACTAACACTTTATATCTATCCAGTCAACCTCTACACAGGAAGGCTAAAATACATATTTTGGTAGTTAATAAACCAAGAGTTCATTATCTTTTGTAAAATGAGGACACTGCTAGGGTGAAATCATGCTCTCCCCAGAACATTTGCCTAGGATTCACAGTTACTGGCCATGAGTTTTATTTCACCATAGAATTAAGGCACTGAACAGATTTTTTAAGTTGAAAATTAACTCACCGTGGCTAGTTTCTGAACATCATCATCTGATGCTCCCAGAGACGCTAAGCCTATTTCTTGTGAAAATTGAGCAAATTTAGGATCTGCAAGCAGTGGAACGTGTCCCAAGAGTTCATGGCATGTATCTCTGTAAGGAAAAAAAGCATCATGAAGGCATGTTACACAAGAAATTTTAAACTACCATCTGTAGACCAAGACTCAAAACCCTAAATACTATTTTATTCTATAAATAATTACCGTTAATCAGACCTGAAATGCAGATGCATCATATGATTGCTGAGAGCTTAAGTTGGATATGTATGTCATACATACATTTATTTGTAGGGAGGGTGGGAGGGAGGGGACGGTGTGAAAGTGAGAGAGAGAAAGCACGTGTGTCCGTGAGAGAAAATGTGTGCATGTGCCTGGGAAGGCCAGGGACAACCTTGGGTGTCATTCCTCAGGTGTCACATGCCACTTTTTTTCTCTTTTGAGACATTGTTCCATTGGCCCGGAACTCACCTAGTAGACTTGGCTACCTAGACAGTGAGTCCCGGGATCCAGCTGTCTCTGCCTTCTCACCACTGTAACCTGACTTTTTTCTTAACATTGGTTCTGAGCTCAAATTTATGTCCTCATACCACCTCAGTCATTTCCTTAGGCTGGGGTACATACTTTTAAGAAACACAATAAAAGCCATTACTTTTTTGGAGATGTGGCCCTTCCATATCGCCAGTGAAGAATGCAAGCCTGGAACTTGCATTCTTCCCAGTTCTGCTTCCTGGGAAGCCTACCCAACAGGCATGCGCTACCACCTGGGGGAAGCCACGTCTGTTTTTGCATGGTACTACATGCTTAGCGCATAGTACTTGCTTTACATGACATCTTGTCATTCTCCACGCAGCCTTAGGAATGGAACTTCTTGGTGTGAGACCTTTCAGGCCAGGATAGACAAGCTACTAAATCACTCCCAATTTGGCCACGTTATAAACAAAATTTGACTGAAACACAGCCCTGCCCATTTATAAAGGTATTGTCTACAGTCATTTTTTGGTCAACAACGACAGAGTCAGATAGCTGTGACTGAGATGATATTTTTGCAAATTCTAAAATAATTGCTGGCCCTTTAGTAGAGAAAGCTTGCTGATTTTCGGCATAGGTAGTAATAAACTAAATTAAATTTAGGCTGGAGGATGCCTTTGAAATTGAGTCTTTGTGTAGCAACTGTGGCCTAGCTTGGTAGAAAGTGACTGAAAGCCTAATTTGGGAGTAAAGTCTTTTAACAAATAGCTGTGTCTTAGCCAATTCGAGTGTCTCAATTCAATCCCAGGTGGCTAGCTGATTCAAATAAGGCAATCACCCAGGTATCATCAATTAAGCTGTCCCTATGGGTCACTTCCATTTTGTGCCCATAATTGTTCTCTGACCACCTTGCAGACTTGGCTCACTGCGGTTTTAAGGTCCAATTCAAGAATCACAAATAAAAACCAATTAAGAGAGAGAGTTGTGTGTGAGAGAGAGAGTGTGTTGCTTATGATTGCACTAATTATAGTTTTTAAAATAAATGTTATCTTTTGGCAATAGTAATAAACCCAAAATTGGGGTTCAACTTGTCATGATTTTGAAAATCCTGTGCTCATCCTTTAATTCTTTTGTGCTCTTTTGTGCCCTTATTAGACTTCACAGAGCACTGAGAAGCACCAGAGGATCATCAAAGTCACTGTCCAAGGGGGCTGACCCTGTGGGCATACGCTCACTTCCTTTTAGAAAGGCCCCTAGGAGATCCTCCCAGTTGTCCGATCTGGACATGAACCTGGAAATAACAAAGGCCCGCCATGTTCTCATTTGCTTGAGCTTCCATTTGGAGCTGGGTAAGTGGGCAAGAGATGGGTGTGTGTCACAACTGAATGAGGCAGTTGTCCTCCTAGGTCACTGTCATGAAGAACAAACTGTTTCCTGAGAGCCGGTTACATTGAAATTAATTTTCCCATGACACTCAGCATGGATCGAGATGCAGAAAGATTTATGTTCATGATTAAAAAAATAGGTTTCTATGTAGTAACTGAATGATATTTCTGAATTCACCTCTGAAATGTATCACTTCATAGGTGCTGTAAGACCAAAGTCTGGTGCTACTGCCATTATTACAAAAACAAAGTTGGGTGACCATATGAATCATGGTAAGTGGTATGAGCTTGACACACACACGAAACAGATGTCACTCAAACAAATAATTTTGTTCTCACAACTCAAACCATATGACCAACCTTTACCAGGCAGGTCAGCGGTGTTCTTTCTTCTCTGTGCTGGTTTAATTTAATTTACAGATACCGTATAAATGAGGAAGTCCATGTCTTAGAGCATAGACAGAGAGCGTAGCCAACATAGTTATCATAAGGAAAGCCATAGTTAGCATGAACTGCGCCCTCTCTTCTGCCATTATTAGCCCAATGCTTCCAAATCACTTGAGGGCCTTTTTAAAGATGTCAAGTGTCTAGACTCCACTTATGACCAGTTCAATCAGACTTCCTGGGATTGACCAGGAAATCATTTTTTAAAGCTCCCCAGGTGAAAGAGACACATACATAGTGAGAACTGAGATCCATTCTCACAGCTAATGGCACTGGACTCTCTTCCAGCAGGCTTACCAATAAATAGTGCTTCAAAAACAAAAGTGCTTATATGATTTGAGGATACTGTGCATTTCCACTAAAGTTGCATCATGATCCTGGAGAATAATGAAAAGCCATGACTGAGTAACAGGTAACTAATTAATGCTTCCATGGTATTCTGTTCAGGTGCACGCCTACCATTCCCACACTATGGGGACTCTGATCTGATCCTTGTGATCTATGATCTACACATCAATGCTGGGATGAAGGTCAAGTGGCCTGCCCTGAAAAACTCTAGGCACTCCCACTTTAGACTTTGATATAAATACTGAAGCATCCCTTCTGATCTTGGAAGAAATGCAGCAACAGTAGCTCCACATCAGACCAGATATCTAGCACCTGGAAAAAAATATTGGGACTGGTATCAGCCTGGTATCAGTAAACCATGGGAACAGAAAGGAGAGTGCCAATTATGGTCAACACTAAACTGAGCCAGGCATGGTCCTGGCTGCTTTACAATGTAACAGAGTAAGTCACAGCTGCAGTAAAGGTTGATTCTTGGGGTAACTTCAAATAAACCTAAACTCTTGCTTTATTGTAAATTTAAAGCCTGACATAGGACAGTCTTCCAGGTAAAACTGTACGAATGGAGTTCAAAAAGTTGCTTTCAAGTAAAAGTCAGTAGCTACAAAGTAAAAAGAAGCACAAGTTGACCAAGAGCATGGAGGAATCAATTCTCAGTGGAAAAGGGCCGTGACGTGGATCTTAAATTAACGTGTCACTATCAGAAGTCAGTAACAATGTCCACAATCACCACAATGACAAGATAAGCAAACTGTACATAGGATAAAATAAATTACAAATTTGGAAGGAGCCAAGTCACACAATACAACAGAGTTAAGTTATATTGTTCCATTAGAGATAAAAGCCTGAAGCAAGATGTCTAACAGAATCTTCAACAGAATGTTAGGGATGGCCTTTGCTCTGTTGTGGATACAAATGATTGCTCCGTATTTCACTAGTCTGTGCTCTCAGTTTCATCTCCATGCAGGAGCCCTGACAAATATTCCTGAAGAAATTCTGGATGCATAATACACAGCACCCTTACTTGTCATGAGCCAATGCTACCAGGTTCCATATTTCAAGGCCAAGAGCAAGGTTATTATCATTAGGGCTAGTGGAACATTGAAATGAACACTGCATTATTCTGTCTCCCAGCCTTTGACGACAAAGACACGTGCAGGCACAGAAGGAAGGGGCCAGAGACAAAGACCAATGAGCAAAGAAAGATTTTCAACATTTCCGAAAAAAAAAATCCATTAGGGGCTGCAGAGATGGTTCCACAGTTAAGAGCGTTTGTTACTCTCACAGAGGATCTCGGTTCAATTCACAGCACCCACATGGCAACTTACAGCCATCTGTAACATCAGCTCCAGGGTATCTGATTCCTTCTTCTGACCTCTGTGAGCACCAGACGCTGTGCACATGTAGACATACATGCTGTGCACATGTAGACATGCAGACAATCATCTCAAATACATGAAATAAATCTGAAACCATTTTTAAAGAACTCACTAAATACAAAAAGTAACATTTCCTTTAGTTTCTTTCTGGTGGACGTAAAGCTGAAGTTGATCGCTTTAGAAGTCTGGGAGGCATGGGAGTGCCGACTTGTATATCTACTATGGAAATCAGTATGGAGATTCCTCAGGAAAATGGGAATCAGTCTACCACAAGACCCAGCAATTCCACTCTTAGGCATATTATACCCAAAAGATTCACATTCATACAACAAGAACATCTGTTCCACTATGTTCATAGCAGCATTATTTGTAATAGCCAGAACCTGGAAGCAACCTAGATGCCCCTCAACTGAAGAGTGGATAGAAAAAATGTGGTACATTTACACAATGGAGTACTATTCAGTGGAAAAAAACAATGGAATCTTGAAATTTGCAGGCAAATGGATGGCACTAGAAGAAACCATCCTGAGTGAGGTAACCCAGTCACATAAAGAGAAATATGGTATGTACTCACTCATTTATGGATTTTAGACATGAATCAGGGGAGTGCCAGCATACAATCCCACTTCCAGAGAGTCTAGGAAACAGAACCTTCATCCAGTGACTGATGAAAGCAGAGGCAGATACCCACAGACAAACACTGAACTGAACTCCTGGAATCCAGTGTCAGAAAGAGAGAACTGATGAGCAAAGGAGTTAAGACTAGGCTGGTTTAACTCACAGAAACAGTTGACCTGAACAAGGGGGAGCTCTTGGACTCTAGATTGATAGCTGTGTGGAAAGCATGGAACTGACCCAGACCCCCTGAATGTGGGTGTCAGTGAGGAGGCCTAGGTAATCTATGGGGCCTTGGGTAGTATTTACCCATGGAGTACAAATAGACTTTGAGTGCCCATGCCACAACATGGGAGGCTCTCTCTTGGGGGAGGGCCTAGGCCCTGCCCTGGATGACATGACAGTTACTGGAGATCCACCATGGAGGGACTCACCCTCCTTGGTGATAGGAGTGGAGA